GGTCTTGGGGGTGACCAAAGAGGTAGGAGGGAATCCAGGAACGGCTGGGGTCTTGGAAGCCAAGACAGGGGCTCAAGGAACAGCTGTGGAGGTCAGGTGCTGCCCAGAGGTCAGGACAGTGATGAGGCCGGGGCTCCGGCCTCGCCCCTGAGAGTGGGCTCTCCCCGGCCCAAGCACTGATGAGCCGGCCCCGGCTCCCGGGCTGCCGCGGGCAGGGCGTGCCGACCGTGGGGGCCTGGGAGTGCTCAGGGCCTCTCTGTCCAGCTGTGCCTGGACTGAGCCTGGGGTCCGGGGAGCCCCGGGAGCCCCAGGCAGGCCTTGCCACCTTGCAGGCCCTCCCGCAGCATTTGTTCTGCTTGGGGAGGCTCTGGGCTACCCGGCCGCAGGCTTGCTCAGAAGCGCCCCTGGAGTGGCCGGCGGCTCCCCGCCCCCGTGGGACCCTGGAACAGCTAGGGGCGAGGTATGACCTGGTCTCTGGAGGGGGCTGGCCAGGTGCTGTGGGGCATCATGCCCCACTCCTGCCCGTCTGCAGGCTCGTGGCCACCTGCACGAAGCCCTCTGCTCCCCTCTACCGGCTTGTCTGGGGTGGTTCTGCGGCAGATCCTGACCTGAGGCGGCCTTGTGCTGGGAGCAGTGGTGGCACTAACTCGGGCGGGGGGCTCAGAGGGTAGGGAGGCCCTGGGCTGGGGTCTGGATTGTTCCCAGCCAGGCCACTTGCTGCCTGAACAAGGCTCCGGGCTCCAGCTTCGTGTAAGGGGGACACCATGGGACAGGGAGGACGCTGTGAGGAAACGGGGGGGTGGTGAGGATGGGATGGGACGTGTGGGTTGCAGGGTCTCCGCCGCGCTCGTCCTGGGGCCCCACCCAGCCCAGCTCCCTGAGCAGATGGGTGTCAGTGGAATCGAGTGACCACTCTCCCCGTAAGGTCAGAGTCCCTTAAGGAAGTGTTTTCAGAATCAGTTCCCAGGTTTCTCCAGTTTCTGCATCCTCCCCACCCCCTCTGCTCAGGAATGGGGAAGGGGCCTTTTAACTGCAGCCGAGGCCGCGGCCGCTTGCTCAGTTTGGATTCTGAGCCAGTGGATGAAGAGGTGAAACTCACTCTGAAACGGTGAGGGCTTTTGAGGGGCTTGGAGAGAAAGAGAGGCCACGCCACTTAGGAGAGGCTGGCAGGACGGGCAGGGGGTCCCCTCCCTCCTACGTGGCCCCAGAGGGACAGGTTTGCTCTGCAGCCTGCTGTTGCCACGTCAGGACTGGCCTAGAGACCAGATTGTGTTCTCAGTTTAGAAGATTTTGGATTTTTAAAAACAGTAAATCATGCTAGCACTGCTTTTGAGGTTTGGGCAGTACCCATGGTCAAATATTAACATTTCTGCAGCAAGACACAAATATTCCCATTAAGGGGACACATTAAGACTATAAGTGGCCACACATCAGGTCACGTGTGGCTGCCAGCTGGGTTTGTTACAAACTTATAAAGTTCTGCGTTCAGAGCTTTTGGTATTTGGAATTGTGGGTAAGAGGTGTGGACTGGGATGCGGGTAGCAGGTCCCTTGGGCTGGGAAGCCACGTTGGCGGGTCGGGCCGTGGTTCTTCATGGAAGGTCTGAGTGTGGAGCAGACCTGCTAGCAGGGCCCGGATTCTGCCCACCTCCCTGGCTGCTGAAGGAAAACGGCCTGGCTCTGCCGCCTTCTTGGGGTGGGCTGGAGGTGAACGGGGGAGAGGGCGTGGGGTCTCGTCCCGTCAAACCCGGACTCCTGACTGAGGGTGTTGGAAAGGGGAGGCCCAAGCTGCCTGCTTTGCTCTGGCTTGAGTGAGTGATGGATCTGGACAGAAAGCACTGCAGGTTTGTGGAATGAGGGAGCGTGTTCCTCCTGCCTGGGGTGCCAGGCCTCCCCCGGCTGGTCTGACTGCTGCTGGGAAGCTGTGCTTACGCAGGGCCAGTCCACTGGCCTCATGGTGGGGAGGGCCCGGATGAGGGTGACCAGCCCTCCTGGGCTTCCTCTAGCTTTAGACAGTGTCGACCAGGGTCTGGGGTCTGGGTGGAGAATTAGGGAAGAGGCAGATGGGGGGCTGTTGCTGTTTGACCCCTGACCCCAGAGGACAGGAACAAGTCTCAGACGGGCCAGTTCACGTGGGTGCGGGCACCAGGCAGCCCAGGGCAAGCCCCCGCCCCTCCACTGTGGGGAGACGGCCGCCACTCGGAGGGCTTCTCCAGCCAGGGGGCGCTGGGTGCCCTCGCAGCAGGGCGGGACCCCGCCTGGCCCTAGCCTCCTCCTGGGATCTCGTGGAGCCTTTGAGTGGACACCCTGGGTTCTAAGCTCTGCCTCTGAACAGCTTTGATCCTTAAGTGAGATAGTACGGAGCGTCTGGTAGTCACTCTTCTCGGGCCTCAGTGGCCCCTGGAGGGGACACGAGGCACCCTGGTGGCTCAGAAGGTTCTCAGCTGGTGCAGGTGACACAGCTGTGAGGCCTAGTTCAACTCTGTCCTGTGCTTCTTCTCCCTTGGACATTCTGACCAAACGTACAAACCGGTGTGAGTCTGGGGATTTCAGCTGTAGGTGGAACCTGGTTCGGTGCCTGGAGGAAGCAGGGAGATGGGGCCATGGCTCCCCGAGTGGTCCCAGGCCGCCTGGCCGCCTCCAGTTATTCTCAGGTGGCCTGATTAGTACCAGTAGGTGTAGGAGCTGTCAGCAGCGACTGCACAGAGCAGGCGTGTTCCGGGCCCGGGGCAGCCTGTCACGGCCTCCTTTGTGTGGAGCCACAGGTGGTGGCTCAGGGCCTTCTGAAAGCCCCCGCTCCCTACTTCGGCCGCGTGGCCTCGGGTGCTCTCTCAGCACGTTCTTCTGCCACCTGGTCTGAGAGGGCCGCGAAGCTGGGGCAGGTGGGGTCTGGGAGGGCACGGGGCACAGCGTGGTGACCCGACAGCCTGTGTTGTACTGTCTGTGCCAGAAATGGCGGCCCTGCTGACAGATGCTGGCCAGCTGATGCGCTTTCCCTTGGGGCGGGCCTGGCCTGTGGGCGGTGTCCGTGAGCCTGGGCTCAGCAGGTGTCTCCGCTGCAGGGCTGCTCAGAGCCTTTCCTCAACTAACTCGGGGCGTGAGGCAGGTCCCCAAGACCCCCCCACCCTTGGTCTCTATGCAGCACTCCCAGGGCTTCCGGTGGCTAGGCCCGCTGGGAGGTGCTGCGGGAGTGGAGTGTCCACCGCGTGCTCTTCTCTGGGGCAGGGCTTGGAGTCGGTGTCCCGGCTGAGCTGCCCCTCGCTGGGCCCCCACAGCCCTGTTTGCCCGCCCCGCGCGCACACACACACACACACACACACCCCCCACACTTGTTGGTTGGGCTGAACCTTCCTCTCCACACAGGCGGCCAGAGGAGGGTCGTGGGCATAAAGGATCCTTACCGTGTTTGAGGACAATAAGGTGGCTTCAGGAAGCACAAGGACCTTGGTGTGTGCGTGGGGGGGACAGGCTGGGGTCCCGAGGGCGGGGCACTGGTTCTGCGCTGCAGCTGGGGCGGGGCTGGGCCTGCGGGGCCTGAGAGACACGCTTCTGGGGGGTGGGCATCATGGACATCACCCGAGGAGCTGAGCACATGGCCCCTGTTTCCCCCTTTCGGGGCCTTTGAAAAGGACCCGAGACCTGGGGTGGAGCCCTCGTGGGCACACAGTGGGGGGATGACCCCTAGCGGTCCCAGGGATTATGTACTGTGCACGTTGAAGGTTAATGACTTTTTCCGAAGAGGAAGCTTTGAGATTAAATTTCTCAAGATAAGTGACATTGTGTGAACATGGTGTGAAAATGGCTGATTTTAGTCTTTCACTAAAATCTGCTCCCCCCACCGAAACCAATAAAAATCACACAAAATCCAAACTCTGTCACTATTTTCGGAATTTCCCTGTAGGGAATGGGAAAATAAGTCTAAAACTTTTCAACGTTGGGAAAAAAATATCCTAAAGTGATTTGGGTTTCTTGGTTTTGTTCTTCTCAGAGACGTAAGAATTTTTATAGAAACCAGCATTTGCCTCTTGTTCCTCATTTTGTAAGAGATATGGCAGCCGGATGTTCTTGCCTTTATCAATAGGTGCTGGTAAGCGGCTCTTCTCTCCTGCTCACGTTTTCTGTGCAGCCACCGGTGGCAGCTGGCCGTCCCCTCCACGACCGGCGCCCCAGCTCTGGAGGCGCCTAGGCTTGCGGACGTGGGTGGAGGGCGCCTTGGGGACAGGGGTCCGCTGGGCTGGCAGGCCTTGGGTCTGCGAGGGCCCTAACCCGCGTGCCCCCTCTCTCTCCGCAGGGTCGGGGTTCTGGAGGACTCCTTCACCTTCCTGGGCATCTTCTTGGCCATCGTCTTGTTCCCCTTTGGGTTCATCTGCTGTTTTGCCTTGAGGAAGCGAAGATGCCCCAACTGTGGAGCAAACTTTACTTAAAGGGAACAGCACACCTGGTTTCCCCACACCCAGCTCTCTTTTTCTAATGTAAATGTCGTGTACAATAGCTTCATGGGATTCAGCTTCAGGACTGTTCTGTAAAGGGAGGTGGGTGGGCTGGGCACGGGAGCCGCAGGGAGTGCGGCCGCGCAAGGCACTGCTCCCAGGTCAACGACAGCTCGGTAAGGCACTGCTTTTATTTTTCGCAGTCTTCAGTTTGGGAAAGGTGAGACATACTGCTTTAAATAAATGAGATCCATACCGCTGTTCACCTGGTTTTGCTTATTCAGTGCACACTGCCACTTACAGAAATCAAGTTTTGTTACGAAAACTTCAAACATATACAAAATAGAGAAGAGCGTTACCTCTCCTAACTCAGCTTCAACATTATCCAGTTCACACCGACCTTCTGTTATTCCTCAGTAGGCATTTACAGGTCAAAAACTGTGCTTGTTTTCAAGTTTGTATTATTATAATGAAACCTAAATACCTTGACATTTACAGAGCACGCACCCCAGTGCCCAGGACCTAAGGCAAGGCCTCCCGTGCTGTGTGACGCAGGTAAGTGACGGCTGTCGTCCCTTCTGTGGAGGTGTAGAGGGTCTGGGTGAGCCAGGTGGGCCTGCAAGTGGCGTCTGATAATCCCAGGACCTGTGCCATCCCTGTAACCAGAAGACCCCCAGCAGCAGAGCTCTGGGGGCCGGGGCCACGGTGTGACACCCCCTGCCCCCTTTTTCTTAATTAACAAGCCTCTACACCTCACTCCCTCCACACTGTTGAAAATAAAGGGCTTTTGTGAACCCTACTCTTAAATGGTGAGAGGAGCAATGGGCCATGTGACTAATTTGATTGTGTTTTCTTGGCTGGTGGAAGGGTCTGCTCTCAAAAGACAAGTGTGCTGCTTGACAGATGCCCTTAGCCTGTGGGTCCTGGGAGCCCTCACACAGTCCCAGACCCCCACCACCAAGCGGTCATAGCTGACCAGCCAGGAGGAAGACAGGACCAAGAACCCAAAGCGTCACACGCTTACACTGGTTTACCTGCATTTGACCTTGACCAATTTCAAGCTTATAGAAAAATAATATTCATGGCAAAGCCAAAAGCTGTGGTCAGCAACAAGCCCCCCTCCCCTGCCCCCATACAGTGGATGGCCTGCGTGTGAGTTTTCATGACCACTCCCCACTCCTCCAAATTGGGCGTAGTCCTTGACAGCCAGAGATAAACCCTGCCACTGGCTCTGCCTTGCTGCGCCGCTGCAGAAGCCCAGGTTCCGGGTATGCCGGCGTGGGGCTCAGCCGAGGTGCAGCCTCCCACTACCCTCCCCTGGCTCCCAGAGGTCCTCCTGGCTTCAGCAGTGCTGTTTGCAGTTTCAGCACCTGACTGAAAAGTGGAGAAACTTGCACCCCAACAGGTTTCAGAGTAAATCAGTGATGGAGGCAGCTTTGGTCAACTAGCTTAGTGAGAGGACCCTGGGTTTCTACGTGCGGAGTCCCCAGATGCATGTGTTATTACCCTGTGAGCCAGGCCCGCATGTGGCATGGCCTGGCATGTTTTCATTGGTATCCCAGTTGGTAACTCAGAACGCCGAATTCAGTACCTCTTAGAAAGTGTTCAAGTGCTAATATCATGGCTGTGATAGGGGACAGGTGAATTCTCAGTGCTCTAGCGCTGTGTCTAAATCACGAGAACTTGCGGGATGCTTCATCTTGGGTAGGGCTGCATTTGATTTAAGCAAACATTTAGAAGTTTTTAAGTTAAATTAAATTTTATACAGTATTCTCATAATTTATATTGCTTAAGGTTATTTGCATGCTGGGATGCAAATCTACACGGTGATTTCTTTAAACATCGTAATGCTATTTAAGAGCACATGCTTTATAAAATAAAACTGTGATCTTATTTGCATTCAGGTGCAGAAAGCCAGTCACAGAAGCGTCAACTATCCCTTATTCTGGCTATTAAAAAAAAACACAGACTATTAAAAGAAAATGATACAATAGGATTGGAACCAAATTTACAGTTCTTGAACAGAATAGGAAGAAAACACTTTAAATGATTGAATTGTATCTAAACTATGACGTAGTTACCTTAAAGACAGAAATATGTAAACCCAGCTATGTTAAATTAGAAAATGCACTGATTTGCTCAAGTGGAATACATGTAAAATCAGGCACCCTCCGGTGAAGCTTTACAACAGGACAGCACTTATCACAAACGTATACCTATCATTTCCCAAGCGAGAACCAAACGGGGAACCAGAGGAATCTGGGGCCACCTTTTCATCGAATGACTGGTGCTGAGCGATCATTTGTCACCGTTGGTCGGAGTTTCACAGTAGCAAAGGGATTTTCTTTGCTGGGGAGGCGGGGGGAGAAAAAAATTGTTGGCAGAAATACTTCAAGACAGGGATTTGGTTCAGAAAAAGAGCTAATAACTCTTGCTCTTGTTCTGTAAAATTATATAGCTTATATAAATCCCAGACATTTTCTGAACATGAAAGTTTTGTTCTGTGACAGCCCATTATAAGCTAATTGTTTCGTTTTGGCTGCAGTGAGAAAGGCCTCAGGCCTGGGGGTCCCCTGGGAGCGGGGCCTGAGGGCCTGCCCAGCATCTGCCCTGATCCAGGAGGGAGTTCCCCTGGCCTCGTGTTGCGTTTGGCACTTAATAAGCTGCTGTCCTAGAAGGCTCTCCCACCACCACCTTCCCGCCCCACACAGGACTGCAGAGGGGTACGCTGCCCTCTGTCTGAAATGTTTACAGCTCTGGACAGTTCTGTAATGGGCGGTGGGCTTCCCTGGCGGTCCAGTGGTTAGCACTCCACGCTTTCATTGCCGAGGGCCTCGGTTCTGTCCCTGGTCGGGGAACTGAGATCCTGCAAGCCCAGTTCTCCTGGGCTGGGTAAGGGGGAGGGCCCTGGTGGAGGAAAGTAACATACCTGAGAAAAAGAGGCTTTGCAAACCCATTTGCATCATTCTGTGGGAAAGAAAAAGAAGTTTATGGAAGGCTCATGAAATTGGGACATTTTTAATAAGACCTGAAGGTAAAGACATCTAAAGCATAAGGCACTGCTTAAAGCTATGCATGTTTCAAAGTACCCTGGAGTCTCAATTCATTTGTCTCATGTATCTAAATTCACTCGGAAGCGTAAGGGCAAGAACAGAAGACACTCTGAAACACAGTGAGGGACCCTTACAAATGCTGGAACATCTTAGAGGGAAACACAAGGTCTGCTGTTCCCTGCCTGTGGCCTGAATTCACGTGCAAAACTGTAGTGATTATGGTTGGCTTTTTGGGAGCCCGATCCTGAACGATGCCATGAGAAACAGTAAAAAACCTTGTTGGGTTTCGGTGCCGTAGACTGGTGCCAACTGCCAAGCAGAGATCTGATCTTGTAGAAGTTCCGTAATTGCGGGAGAGAGAGGACAGAACAGTGCAGGCACTGTCTTTGCCTTCAGGAATTGCCAGAGCCCTCTCGGAGCCCCAGCCTCCGGCTCCTAGGGGCTCGGGGTCTCCCAGTGTGGCCGGGGACCAGGTGATTGTGTGTCCTCTCCTTCATTCCACAAAGAATCTGCTTTAAATCTGCTCTGGCTGTTGTAAGAAATCCCTGGCCCAAGCTGGCGGGCTTATTCAGATGGCTGCCCAGGAGAGGGCAGTGTCATGCCATCTGACCAGGGCCACCAGGCCAGCTCCCAGGATGCCCCATGGTCTCAGGGCTTGCAGGCCTCTGAGCTCCTCTCACTTCCCGTTGCCAGTTGCCAGCCTGGGGCTGAAGGCCACGCCTGGACTAAAAGCCAGGCCAGGGCTCCCTTGGGATGGCCTCTCCTGGGTGCTGGATGTACAGACTCAAGGCAGAAGGGGGCTGGAGGCACCAGGCCTACTTCGCAGACCCGTGCCTGCTGTCTCCGGACCTCTGGGGACCTCACACCTTGACCTTGAACCTGGGGCCAGTAAGGTCATCCCGAGGGGGAGCCCCAGCACCAGGGGCAGCCAGCCCGATGTCCAGATTCAATGTCTCCCTCTCGGGATTGAAGCACAAAGCAGCTGCCCTGCTCATTAGCACATCCTAAAAGGGCCTGTCCCCGCAGGGCTGCTGGGCTTGCTCAGCAGGCCTCGGAGTGAGCAGTTTCTGGTGTAACATTCATGTTACAGGATGAGTAAGGGCTAACTTATGATTTATTTAAAAAATACCCCAGAATGCCTGTCGTGCAGTCCCACACATGCTCAGGGTGCTGGCATTAACCTGCTGCCCAGAGCAGGTGCCCCCAGGCTGGGGAGGCTGAGTCCAGGCTGTGACTGTGGCTCAGGGGGAGGCCGGCTGTGTCCTCCCGGCCTGGAAGGCCTACGTCCTGCCAAGCTGGACTCCCGGGATGCGGCCTCCGCAGGGCATGTAACAGAAACCACCTTCCTGCCTGTCCTTGGGGCAGGACACTGTCCCCCTCCCCTGAGTGTCCTCAACTTGAGGAGTGCCCCCACTGCCCTCAAGGCAGAAACCTTGGAGCCTGACTGAACTCTGAAACGAGCTTAGCCATGGTTTCACAGGCTGTGTTATCTGGGTGACACGACATGGTGAGAGAAACAGAAACACTGGAGGAGATGCACTGAAGTCCAGCCCTGGCGGTAAAGTGGCAAGAAGTAACAACTTGTGCTATGAGGAAAGAGAGCAAAATGACTCCTAAGACGGCAGCCCAAAGCTACCGGGCCCTGGCACGTGCCCCAGCGAGCCCACTCCTGGTTGGTACAAGCAGCATGCGCGCACATTAGCACTGAGACACCCGCTAGGATGCATGGGGCAGCCCTGTCCCAACAACAGGAGAGACGTCAGGCAAAACGTTCTCTGACATAAATCGTAGCAGTTTTCTTAGGTCAGTTTCCCAAGGGAATAGAAATAAAAGCAAATATAAACAAATGGGACCTCATCAAACTTACAAGCTTTTGCACAGCAAAGGAAACCATAAACAAAATGAAAAGACAACCTACAGACTGGGAGAAAATCTTGGCAAACTATGTGACCGACAAAGGCTTAGTTTCCAAAATATACGAATAGCTCATACAGCTCAATAACAAAAAAACATTCCAATCCAAAAATGGACAGAAGGCTTAGACATTTCTCCAAAGAAGACATACAGATGGGCAACAGGCACATAAAAAGATGCTCAGCATTGGTAATTATTAGAAAAATGCAAATCAAAACAACAGTGAGGTTCCACCCTCACACTGGTTAGAATGGCCGTTATTAAAAAGTCCACAAATAACAAATGCTGGAGAGGGTGTGGAGAAAAGGGAACCCTCCTACACTGCTGGTGGGAATGTAAATTGGTGCAGCCACTATGGAGAACAGCATGGAGGTTCCTTAAAAAACTAAAAATAGAACTGCCATATGAATCAGCAATCCCACTCCTGGGCAGATATCTGGACAAAGCTCTAATTCAAAAAGATAAATGCACCCCATCGTTCATAGCAGCACTATTCACAATAACCAATACACAGAAACAACCTAAAGTGTCCATCAACAGATGAATGGATAAAGAAGATGGGGTACATACATACAATGGAATATTACTGAGCCATAAAAGAGTGAAATAATGTCATTTGCAGCAACATGGATGGACTTATGGATTATTGTACTAAGTGAAGGAAGTCAGAAAGACAAATACCAATATGATATCACTTATATGTGGAATCTAAAATATGACATAGGGACTTTCCTGGTGGTCCAGTGGGTAAGATGCCACGCTCCCAATGCAGGGGGCCCGGGTTCGATCCCTGGTTGGGGAACTAGATCCCACATGCATGCAGCAACTAAGATCCCATGTGCCACAACTAAACATGCCACAAAGATCCCACATACTGCAACTAAGATCTGGTGCAGCCAAAATAAATATTTTAAAGAAATAGAATATGACACAAATAACTTATTTACGAAACAAATAGATTCACAGACAGAAAACAAACATGGTTACCAAAGGGGAACACAGGGAGGGATAAATTAGAAGTTTGGGATTAACAGATACACACTACTATACATAAAATACGTAAACAAGATTCTACTGTATAGCACAGGGAACTATATTCAGTGTCATGTAATGTACTGTAATGAAAAAGAATAGGTTTAAAAAAGAATGCATACATATGTATAACTGAATCACTGTGCTGTACACCTGAAACTAATGCAACGTTGTAAATCAGTAACAGGAAGGATGCCAGCCTCTGTTGAGACACCAGTGGAACCACGGGAGGACACAGTTCTGTCTACGCAGGGCCAGACCAGACAGGCACCCAGCGTCCAGAGGAGGGCAGTCTGGACTGTGAGATGGGACAGTTGGGGGGACTCCTGGAGGGCCGGTAATGCTCCAGTTCCTGATTGGGTGTTGGTTATATGGAGTCACTTTGTGACAAGTGACTTTTCTTGCACTTTTCTGTATATGGTATTCAGTATTTACAAAAAAAAAAAAGGACCTCTTCAGAAAGGTGTCCTCTTTAACACACCTGCCAGCGAGCTTATTGCCACGGCTGCCCTCCTCCCAGCTCCCTTCTCCTCCGTGAAGGCACCTCCTTTGCCCAGCGAGGAGCTCAGGATCCGCTGGCCTCAGACCCGCCCGCACGGCCCACACCCCGCCGGCTGAGCCGGGAGCCGCCTGTCCCTCTACTGCCTCCCCGAGCCTGCGGTGAGGGGTTTGGGGTCTCCCCCGCACACCCCATCTTTCCCTCTTCCGTCGCCTGGCACACGTTGCCCTGTCCAGGAGCACCGAGGGCTCTGGAGGCCCTTCTTGGTCGTTCTGTGACCCATCTCGGCACAGGTCCTGGCGTGCCCGGGGCACCTCCTCTGTCGCAGTGTGGGCCACACAGCATGCGCTCGGAAGAGCCCCGCCCCGCCCGCCGTCTGGGAGACACTGGTCCTCACTCACCTCTCGGGTTCTGCTGGAGTTCGCAGCACGCGTCCCGCCCCCACTTCGCTCAGGCTTCACAGAGCACGACTGCCAGGTGCTGGTCCCTCTGCTGGGCTGCACCGGTGGCCACGGCCTGTCGCGTGTTCTGTGTCCCCTCTTGGCAGCCAGCATGCTTCCCTCCCCGCGAGTGGCCAGGCTGCCAGGGGACAGCGGGGCCGGGGAGGCCTGGGGACTGGATGGTGAGACAGCCCACAGGCGGGAACAGGCATGGGACATGCCTGGTGACTTCCCCCGAAAAACCCCAAACCCCAGTCCACCTGGAGGTGGCCCTTGCTGGCTGTCACGGTGTCCGCATCACGCCCCCTCCCCGCCACCCCAGAGTTCTGTCTGGGTGTCTCCTGCGTGCCCGTGTGCCTTGAAGATGACGCGGTCCCAGCCTACAGGTCAGCTCAGACCCGCAGCCACAGGCAGACGCACAGAGATGATGGGACCCGCAGCCCGGCCAAGGCTCTGTTGAGAAGCCTCGCGGGGAGTCCTCCACTCCCCCTGAGGACCGAGCCATCCTGCAGACAGCAGGGCCTGAGGGACGGGCCCTAGGGCTTCCTTGGTGCCTGCCCTCCTGCACGGCTGCTTCCTCGGACAGAACGTCCCTTCCTCTCCACCGCCAGCTGGAGAGCAGCTTCGTGTGGCCCGCGGTGTGAGCAGCCCTGAGTGACACTGCTTTACGTGTTAACAACTCAGTCCTCAGCTGCAGGCTGGACTCTCCCAGTTCACAACCTCTGACCCAGTTCAACCCCTTTATTCTTTTTTTTATTTTTGGCTGCATTGGGTCTTAATTGCTGCGCACAGGCTTTCTCTAGTTGTGGAGAACGTAGGTTACTCTTCGTTGCAGTGTGCAGGCTTCTCATTGAAGTGGCTTCTCTTTTTGTAGAGCACGGGCTCTAGGTGCGCAGGCTTCAGCAGTTGTGGCACGCGGGCTCTAGAGTGCAGGCTCAGTAGTTGTGGCACAAGCCTCAGTAGTTGTGGCTCGCGGGCTCTAGAGCGCAGGCTCAGTAGTTGTGGTGCACGGGCTTAGTTGCTCCGCGGCATGTGGGATCTTCCCGGACCAGGGCTCGAACCCGTGTCCCCTAGCATTGGCAAGTGGATTCTTAACCACTGCGCCATCAGGGAAGCCCAACCCGTTTATTCTTAAATGGGAACTGAAGCCCAGACGGGGAAAGCCAACTGCTCTGGTCATGGAGCTCTTTTCTGAAACCAAGGTGCCCACTCGGTGAGGCGGGGGGTAGGGGTGGGGGGTGGAGGCAGCACCCACTCAGCGCAGCTCCTACAGGTCGGCAGACGCGCTTTGAAATCAAAGTGTGTGGGTTTGAGGGCTTGGTTTCTCAATAGCTATTTAAAGCCCAGTTACCAGATTACTTAAAAGCTACTGCCACTAAGGCAGAGAGCACGTGACCGACCCCCAGCCCCTCGGTAGTGAAAAGATGGCATCTCATCTCTTGAGATGGGACGTCCCAGGGCAGCTGGGTCCACCTCACTGGGTTCAGGAACATTTTCTGGTGGGTGGCTCCCAGGTATACCCTAGGTATCCTGGTGTTTAAACAAAACTCTACGTGTAACTGACAGTATTCTGATGGTTGTGTGTGTGTAAAAACTACATATAAAAGTGTTGGTGGGGGGCTTCCCTGGTGGCGCAGTGGTTGCGAGTCCGCCTGCCAATGCAGGGGACACGGGTTCGTGCCCCGGTCCGGGAAGATCCCATGTGCCGCGGAGCGGCTGGGCCAGTGAGCCATGGCCGCTGAGCCTGCGCATCCGGAGCCTGTGCTCCGCAATGGGAGAGGCCACAAAAGTGAGAGGCCCGCGGACCAAAAAAAAAAAAAAAAAAAAAAAAAAAAGCGTTAGGCTGCTTTACCAGCTCCCACGGACCCCAGAGTTTGGCTGAGACAGAACATACTTTTCTCCAGTGCTATCAGCTGGTGTAAACAGTTTAGGAAAGATAAATGACCAGCCCAGTTGGGCGTAAGAACCTCTGAGATATGAAATTCCAGGGCTGTGTCTCCAGCCCTCAGGGGGTCCTGGAAGGGCCTCATCGTGGTACCTGCTTCTCGACCATCACCCTCTGGATCAGGTTTCTAAATGGAATCTCGTTCTCTCTTGTGTGACCTGTACCTGGCCGACTGATACAGCAGCCGCTCACTGTATGACTAGATGAAAATACAAATTTAAAATTAAAAACTCAGTTCCTTACAGTTGCACTCTCCACTTTCAAGTGCTCAGCCGCCCCTGCGTCCAGTGGCCACTCTGCTGGGCCGCCCAGTTCTGGAACATTTCTGCCTGATCCATAATCTCTCCGGGTTTGTTTACCGACACACAGATGATTGGATCCTGTGTCTGCTGCCTTTGCAAGAGGCCACGACGACTAGGTGGCCTATTAAAAACAGGCCTTTTCACCTGCTCCCCAGGGGCTCTCTTTGGGGCAGAGCTGGTCCTTCTGTCCACTCTGCTGTGCTCTTGGACTCCCGCTCTGACTTGGTAGCGACGAAACGCGGTAGCTTGTCTAACGGACAGGTTGTAGGCAGCGGAGGCATCAAGGGTGTACACCGCTGACAGTTGCAGCTTTTTCTTTGGCACTTTGCAGAGGATACTGAAATATTACTTCAAAAGATGAAGCGATAGAAATGGAATACGAATCAGTCATTATACCTCATGATGCATCTGTGAACGCCCTGTACTTACTTTTGGGTTATTACCGTCTTCAGCCCAAGGTTAGATGCACGTTTACAGACATGGAAAACTGAACATCCAAAAGAGGGTGACTGGGTGAGAGGCTCTGAAATGACGGATGGCAGCGCCTCGTTCAGGAAGTGCACGAACCTTGTGGCCTTTGATGATTTTTAAAAGCCAATTAATATTTTCTTGTGGCCTTTATTAATTAGCATTTTCCATTATTCTCCAGATCAGAACATAGTAACCTATTGGTACTTCTTAAACAGCACACAGGTGACGGTGGTACTTGTCTCATCAACGGAGTTCTGATGGAGGGACACCCACATGCTGCTGATCCGTGAGGATGAGAGGGGCGCAGAGGTGCTATTCATGGGCTCACAGGGTTCCTGCCACAGGCCTGCAGCTCATCACAGCCCAGGCAGCAGTGCTGGGGCTTGTTAGAAGCATAAATGCTTCTAAGGTGATATGAGAAAATGCTATGATCCCACCATGAGGTTGGGTGCTGGGAAGGGAGGGGAAAATATCTATATATCTAAATATATCAATATTTATCTATATCTCAAAGGAAATATAATGAAGTGTTAACAGGAGTTATCCTAGAAGTGAGACTATAAATAGAATTTTCTTTTTAATACTGTTGTATGTTTTCCAAATTTTCTACCCAAACAAAAATTCTCTGGATTATTTTTATGAACAGAGTGTTATTTTTAGAAGTAGTATTTAAAATGAGATGTAATGATTAGATGTTTTAATTTTTACAAGGAGACCCTGACCAAACTTGGACTTTGCTGTTTAGCCAAAACCTGTAGCTTCGACTGCCCACCGGTTTTAAAAGGAAACCTAATTTCAGCATATGTTTAATGTACCCAGCAAATGGCAACATTTGAGGTGAAAAAATATTAAAACATACTTTTGTTTACTTAAAGCATGGGATGGATAAATATTAATTTAAGAGTTCATCCTTATTTCTGTCTCAAGAGTGGGATAATTTATCAGTTTGATTATTTGCAAAGTAGAATTTTAGATAAAAATTTTACCATAAAGCCATTCCTTAATATAGTAGTCAAATCATAAAATATATAAATACCTCCATGAAAGGCAACTTTTATCTGTTTTTTAATCAAAAGTGGGAAGGGGGTGGTTTCTCAAATTGTAGGTACTTTAACAAACCATAAGTAACTTCGTCTTTAATTAATACAATCATACTTATGGGACGCTGATTATTTTTAATTATTCAGAACCTCCAAAATAAATATTTATATTTTCTAGTAGTTAAATGTGTAAGAATGTTTTTTCTTTCTAATGCTGGCGTGTTAAAGATCTAATGTATGTGCTCATTATATAAATTATCCAAAAAAAAAAAAAGGCTCCAAAATATGTAAACATGAGTAAACCAGACCTGCTCCCAGAGCTGAGACAGAACAGCACTCTCTCCCGTGTAGGTACCAGCAGTTAGTCACTAGCTCTATCAGTTCTTCCCCTTAAGTACTGACAGATCCTGTCGCCCCATCCCCAGCAGTGGACGGGACTCCTACCGTCCCCTCCCTGGATGACCGAATGCCGCCCGGAAGGATGGGAAAGGACGCAGTACAGCCCAGGCGGCCCGGCTCGGGGAGCGTCACCCCTGGCCTGCCCATCCCGCCGCTTCTCCGCCGTTGCCCCAACCGCGCCCAGCCACGCAGACCCCACGACACCGTCTGAAGGCTTTGGGTTTCATCAGAGCTCTTCCTTCAGGACTCAGCTCAAATGCTTGCCTCCAAGAAGCCACTTCTGATGCTTCCCAGGAGCCTGAGCCAGGGCCTTCCCCGCCTCCTGTCACCCTGCACCTTTTCCACAGCCCCAATAAACAGCGCTCACTGGATTCAGTTCCGGGGTTGATTCCTATTTGTTACCCTAGAGCATAGCCCAGGGCCTGGACCGTAATAAGCTCGTCAATAAATGTTCCATGGACGAGTTCCAGTGCGACCCGCAGATCCCCTCTACAAAGTGTACCTTCACGTGCCATGTGATTGGTACGCAGGCCTCTCACTGTTGTGGCCTCTCCCGTTGCGGAGCACAGGCTCCGGACGCGCAGGCTCAGCAGCCATGGCTCACGGGCCCAGCCGCTCCGCGGCATATGGGATCTTCCCGGACCGGGGCACGAACCCGTGTCCCCTGCATCGGCAGGCGGATCTCAACCACTGCGCCCTGTTTGTAGATTTTTTGACGATAGGCCCCCTATTTCTGTCTTGCAGGCTGGAAGGCCTTTTTCAGTCTTTCATTTTAGTGGCCTTTATTTTTTTATTTCATATAAGAATATTTAAAAGCTCTAGGGCTCCCCTGGTGGTGCAGTGCTTGAGAGTCCGCCTGCCGATGCAGGGGACACGGGTTCGTGCCCCGGTCCGGGAAGATCCCACATGCCGCAGAGCGCCTGGGCCTGTGGGCCATAGCCGCTGAGCCTGTGCGTCCGGAGCCTGTGCTCCGCAACGGGAGAGGCCACAACAGCCCGCGTACTGCAAAAAAAAAAAAAAAAAATCTACAAACAATAAATGCTGGAGAGGGTGTGGAGAAAAGGGAACCCTCTTGCACTGTTGGTGGGAATGTAAATTGATACAGCCACTATGGAGAACAGTATGGAGGTTCCTTAAAAAACTAAAAATAGAACTACCACACAACCCAGCAATCCCACTACTGGGCCTATACCCTGAGAAAACCATAATTCAAAAAGAGTCATGTACCACAATGTTCACTGCAGCACTGTTTACAATAGCCAGGACATGGAAGCAACCTAAGTGTCCATCGACAGATGAATGCTTAAAGAAGGTGTGGCACATATATACAATGGAATATTACTCAGCCATAAAAGGAAACGAAATTGAGTTATTTGTAGTGAGGTGGATGGACCTAGAGTCTGTCATACAGAGTGAAGTAAGTCAGAAAGAGAAAGACAAATACCGTATGCTAACACATAAATATAAAAATAAAAAAAAAAAAAAAAGGTTCTGAAGAACCTAGTGGCAGGACAGGAATAAAGACTCAGACGCAGAGAATGCACTTGAGGACACGGGGAGGGGGAAGGGTAAGCTGGGACAAAGTGAGAGAGTGGCATGGACATATATACACTACCAAATGTAAAACAGATAGCTGGTGGGAAGCAGCCGCATAGCACAGGGAGATCAGCTCGGTGCTTTGTGACCACCTAGAAGGGTGGGATAGGGAGGGTGGGAGGGAGGGAGACGCAAGAGGGAGGGGATACGGGGATATATGTGTACGTATAGCTGATTCATTTTGTATACAGCAGCAACTAACACAACATTGTAAAGCAATTATACTCCAATAAAGATGTTAAAAAAAAAGAAATAGGGGGCCTGACCGGAGTGTCAGGGCAATGCTGGCCTCACAGAATGAGTTAGGAATTCTCTCCTCTCCACTTTTAAGGAAAGTCTGAGTAGGACTGGTATTAGTTCTTTAGACGTTTGATAGAATTCACCAGTGAAGCCATCGGGTTTTGGGCTTTGTCGGGAGACCTTAAGTTACCGGTTCGGTGGGGAGGGGCTTCGGGTGTGGAGCTCTGCCTGGAGGCAGCCCTGGGACCTCGCAGACCAGGATCCCCAGGGTGTGAGCTGAGGACCCCTGCACCTGTTCTGGGGGGCAGGGAAGCAGCTTCCACGAGGGCCTGCCACAGAGGAGGCGGGCCCAGGGCAGCCAGGCCACCCTGGGCCTCGGGAGAAAGCAGTGTGCTTGAAGCTCTGCTGCCCAGCAAGTGGGAAGGGGTAAAAAGGTGGGCACTGCGTGCGGTGCTGCTGCCTAGCTGGTCTCCATGCTTTTCAAGACAGCCTCCCGATACTGACAGTCTATTATGATCCAGCCAACAGAGAGGTTTAAAAATAAAGAGCTCATTTAAACTGCCAAATGCTTAATGATGAATATCATTACTGACTATATTGATATCTAAAACCAGGATTTTTCAATCTATCCATCCAGTGTGGTAAGAAGTGCACCAATGCTTTCTTCATTGAGCTTTGTCCACGTGGTAAAAATACTGAAAATTAAAACATGTTATTTTCTAAAATCGGTGCTGTTAGCTAAAATGTGTTTTCATTTGTAATTCCAGTGCTAGCTATGATTTGGGGGCAAGATTCTTTCACCCTAAAAGGCACTACACAGGCAGACCTCATTTTACTGCATTTCACTTGATTGTGCTTCACAGATGCTGCTCTTTTTTTTTCCTTACAAATTGAAGGTCGTGGCAAGGCTATAGGCATCATTTTTCCAACGGCATTTGCTCACTTCATGTCTCTGCATCACATTTTGGTAATTCTTGCAATATTTCAAGCTTTTCATTATTATTATAGTCACAGTTATCTGTGATCAGTGGTCTTTGGTGTCACTACTACGACTCACTGAAGGCTCTGATGATGGTTAGCGTTTTTTATCAATAAAGTATTTTTAAATTGAGGCTTTTTGAGACATAATGCTATTACACACTCAACAGACTACAGTATAGTGTAAACATAACTTTTATATGCACTGGGAAACTGAAAAGTTCCTGTGACTTGCGTTATCGAGATGGTCTGGAACCAAACCTGCAACATCTCTGAGGCCTGCCTGTACAACCTACATCCACGGAGCCGGGTGGTCATTATCAATGGCTGCTGACATCACGGAAGGAAACAAGCAGACGCCTATACCCACCACCACCGCTGATGAAATGCTCTACGAAACAAAACAGGCAAACTAACAAAACAACAACAGACTCTGATCAAGGCGGGAAATATAGAACAAAGGGGAACTCAGTAAAGGACACCATGTGCATGCAACCAGCAAAAATCCAGACTGGGGACACCCTCCAGGACCAGTAACCTGGGTTTTCTACAGAGAGATTACAAGGAAAAAGAGACAGGGGAGACCTCTAGATATGGAAAGACTCACCACGAGACTGAACCACCAATTACAATGTAGGGAGCTAGCCTGGGTCCAGATTTGAACAACTGTACTGTCAAGAAATTTTTAATGCGACAATCAGAAATTTGAAGTGACCAGGTGATGATATTCATGAATTATTGTCAATTTTAAAAGATATGATAATTGGCATTGTGGTCATGTGAGAGAAAAAAAGGATCTTTAATATATTTACAGATGAAATGATATGTCGGTCGTTAGCTTCAAATTGATCTCGGAGTGGGTGGGGGAGAGATGAAACAAGATTTATAAATGAATTGTTAAAGCTAACCTGGGGGACCAGGTCATTAGATTATTCTGTCCATTTTTATGTTTGAATTTTTCCATAAGAAAAAGTTGAAAATCAAAGCCAGGAGAAGGCACTACAGAGGGACAGGTCCCACCTGAACAATGGGCCTCATGTGCCTGGATTCTGAGCTTTGTGACATGCAAATTGGAAAGGTTTTTTTCCCCAGCAAAAGGAATTGTTATGCTTTCAGAAATGCCTTAAGATCATTTCCAAAGAGTTTGAATACTGTTTTAAAATATACTGGGGCCTTTAATAAAATAGCATTTCACATGTGCCCTTCCCAAGCAGTTTGTCCAGTTTTGACATCTACTGCTAACAAAATGGAAAAGCTCCATTTTCTTCTGAAAATAATTTTTGGAGTTAGTTGGGGTGATTTGCAAACAATCATGCAGTATGCTTATTTAAGAGGAGAAGCCAAAGGCATTTTTGAATCAGATTTCAGAACAGTGCATTTCCTGGACCGAAACACGTGCTTCGGCACGGTCCCCGACACCTGCGCTCGCACTGTAGCAACGATGGGCCCATCGTTGGGAGCACTCCCATCTCCTGTAAGCGCCCCCGCCCCTGCCCCGCTCAGAGCCGAACAGAGGCCCCCACTAGGGGTGACAACACACCCCATGGGAGGCATGGCTTCTGCACGCACCACAGGAAGGAGCACAGGATAACGAAGGGTAACGGAAAACAAGCAGAAACATCGGCCCAGGCTTACTGCACCGACGGCTCGTATCCCACTCCTCTCCAGAGCACGCTCACTTTCTCACTCTGCAAAACACCTCTGGCACCAATTCTCTTCTTTTGAACTTGTTCAGCACCTCCCTGCCCGCCCCGTCCGCTGGTGATCCGTCCTTCGGCACTGACAGACGTCCCCCAACACAGCCAAGTCTGTCCTCCCAGCTGCACCCGGGTCCTGGCCCTCGGCCTTCCCGTCGGCACAGTGGACCCGCATCCCTACCCCGGCCAGCCGGCTCCTCCCCGTGTGCTCTTCTTCCTTCTCAGTCAGCGCCTTTCCTCCATCCTTTCCCCCTTCTCTACTGTATAATCTACACTGAAAATAAAATTTAAAAAAAGACAAGAACCCCTCTGGAGGCTCCGCCACCCTGGAATCCTCACCTCCCTCCTCTGCTCCCTGAGGGCTCCGAGTCCACCACCCTCAGGGCTTTTAAACTTTCTGCTCCTTCTGTCTGGGAAGCTCCTCCCCTTGACCCCTGGGTCTCAGATGTCACCCCCCAGAGAAGTGCTCCGTTGCAGGCTCTGTCATGTGCTGCCCAGATTCCCTTCAGGACTGGGACTGATTCTGGCTGTGGGGAGATGGCCCTCGGCTGGCAGCGCTCCTCGGGAATCGCTCTGGCTGAGACCCCGGCCCCCAGATGCTGCCCCAAATCCAGGCAGCTCCAAGGGCCGTCCCAGCCCAGAGGTCTCGGCAGGGGCAGTGGAGGCTCCGGGCCAGCCTCTCCCTTCCGTACGGGGCCCGGGCGGCTCTCATCAGCACCCGCCCTCGTTCTCAGAGTCAGCTTCCCAGAACACCCAAACCCTGACCTCCATCCAAGAGGTCACCCGATCCCTCATCACCTCACCTTGCTTCATTCCTCCATGTAGCTTCTAGCATTGATATTTGTGTTAACTTCTCATCGTCTGCTTCTTATCACTAGAACCTAAGTTCCAGCAGAGCCAGGGGCTGGTCTTGTTTATCTTTGCGTCTCCAGAGCCCACACCGGGGCCTGGCCCAGAAGACAGAGTTGTCAGAGGAACAGACGAAGTGACTCACAGCCTCTGTGCCTCTTACCCACTTGTTTAGGATTACAGATAACGTACACACAGGGTTTACACAGCACACTTTCTGAAGGTGTAATGATCAGATCACTATGTTCAACCTTAAGTCTTCCTTCAGAAAACAATATGAAAACTGAAGAAAATGCAGAAAAAGGTCACTACAGGTCTAAAGGACTGCAGCCACGAACAAAAGCAAGGAGAGCTTAAAACCTGATACAATCTGGCAAACGATGGGCCTACTGTGTGTAAACTGTCATTTACAGATAAACTAAAAACAAAAGGGGGACTGAAGATAAGGAAGCTGAAAGGCTGTGTGGCAGGGGAATCTGCAGGCCCTGGGAGGGAGTCTCCACCCTGCCTGGGGGTCAGCACCTTCCTGTATGGAGGGAAAAGCACCCCGCGTCACCAGAGCCTGCTGTTCAGGATCGCGGTACACTGGGCCTTACTCACAGGAGACGTGGTTTCTGGTTTGGACACTGGTGCTTTAAAGGTAGAAGCGTTTTGGGAAACCGCTCCTTTCTTTTCTGCAGCCGCCCCCGTGGACGAACATTCTAAGTAATCCGGTGGGGGGATGACGACGCTGCTTTTCTCAGATAAGTTCATCGTGCTCACGCTCCGTACTGATACCGAGCTAGCGAACAAGAACCAGAGGATACAAGTTAGATGAGACCTGGCCCCTGCACCCCAAACATCCCCAATCTCCTATGGCCAGAATTGCGGTGGATTAATAATCTAATACAGTGAGGGAGGAGGAGATTACCACACACACACACACACACACACACACACACACACACACTGTATATGACACTGCAGTGTTTCTGCTGACTTATAAATGTACACTCGAAAGAAATCCTTTAAAAGACATGACAAAAGAAAAGGAGAGGAAAACTGGCTCAATTAGGGGCTGGCTCTTAATTCAAGGAGTTCAATAAGAAAATACAGCAAATGCCTTAAGCAAAAGCATCGAGCACTTCGCACTAAAAAATCTCAGAATTTTAACATCCTAAAAATATTTAGGGGTGTCCCTGGTGGCGCAGTGGTTGGGAGTCCGCCTGCCGATGCGGGGGACATGGGTTCATGCCCCGGTCCGGGAAGATCCCACATGCCGCGGAGCGGCTGGGCCCATGAGCCATGGCCGCTGAGCCTGCGTGTCCGGAGCCTGTGCTCCGCAACGGGAGAGGCCACAGCAGTGAAAGGCCCGTGTACCGCCAAAAAAAAAAAAAAAAATATATATATATATATATATATATATATATATATATATATACACACACACACATATATATATATATATATACATACACATATATATACACATATATATACACATATATATTTAGTTTCATTCCTTGGCCACTGGCAGCTGAGCTATTCTGCAAGGGACAGAAACACACAGATGGCTCAGAGCAAGTATAATGGAAGGACTTGGGGGGGGGGCATCAGGTGCGGCATCCGCGGTCTGCTGGGGACAGCGGGATGGGTCAGGATGGTTGCTCTGACATGGGAAACACTGTGGCCAAGGTGGTTTGTGGTCAAGACGATGCCACGTTCAGTTTGGACATGTTTCTGAGGACCCACACCACATACAAACATTCACATCTTGGCTGGGAGAGACCTGCCTGGGTTAGTCTAGTCTTGGGTCCACCACTTCCAGCTGCTTGAGCAAGTTATTACACCTTTCCGTGCCCCCATCTTCTCAATTTTCAAGCAGGGACCTATCTCACAAGGTTGTATGATGATTCAATGACCTGGTCAGTGTAAGGCACTTTGGACAGTTCCTAAGTGATGGTGATAATGATCATTATCTGGATGGGATACAGGCGTGAGGGGGCGGTGTTGGCACAGAGGTGCTGAGTGAAGCCCGCTGATGTAATTCAAGCTTAGGGGGCAGACACGGTGGCCCAGGAAGCACCGAAAAGGAAAAAGGGACTGAGGGCAGATCCCGAGGACACCTATGTCTAAGCACAAGGCAGAGGAGAGATCTGAAAGGGTACTGAAGATGGATGGGTGGTGAGGTGGAGGGAAAATAAAGAGTGCAAGGGCAAGAGAACATTCCAGATAAAGTATTCATCAGTGTTAAAGGCTGCCGAGTAAGACCAAGACAGAGCACAAGGGCCTTGGATTCAGCTGCGGTGGGAGGTGGGGAGAGTGCTTCTGAGGCTAAAGGGGGGTTCTGGGGCGCGTCTCTTTCCAGCAGATGGTCAGTGAAGCGCGTGGGCAACAGAAGTCAGGAAGGAAGCAATCATGGAGCAGCAATCCCCCGCAACCCCCCACTACTCCACACCATCTGCGGCTTCCCCGTGGGCTGTGCTACACATCCAGATTAATTCCGACACGCCTGAGAACACGAGGTCGAGGTGCATTTTCTGCCCCTGGGCCATCTGAGCCACAGGCAGGTCCTACCTTGGCCCGGGCACGCTCACGGTCTCCTTCTCGTTTTCCTCCAGCAACTTTGTGTATGACGACGGGAACCAACCCCTCCTGCAGGTGAAGAGTGGGGAGAAAAAGACCTTGCTGGGATGCTCCCAGCAGACAAGCAAAGCATAAACACACCCAGGAACGCTCGGTCACAGCGCAGGGGCCGGAACGGCTCGGTCACAGCGCAGGGGCCGTGGCCGGGCCACTCTCATTGCAGTCTCTCATATACAGAATTACTTTTATTTGCATTCCCTTTTTGTCTTTGGTTTCCATATTGGTTTTACTTAATACCTGAATAATCTACACAGAAACGTGACTTAACCTACTTCCTGTAAAGCTTATGCACGTCCAGTTGAAATGATGACACTGGCATTTAAACTATTCACATGCTAAATCTTAACAAAGTATATCTTGAGAAATCTGAAGTCACGTGAAAAAAACATTTAAAACTACTTTCAGAAGTGACTCCTATTTATTTACGCATCAAATTCATCTATATATGCACACACATACAGAAAACAGTTTGGGAATGACTGGGAATAGAACGACTGCAGTTAACTGTAACTGTCACTAAACTATGAACCTAACTGTGGTGAAAATGCTAATCTGCCCACAAGGAAGACCTGCTACGAGGAGAGACAGCAGCCCTCTCGGCGTGGGACCGCCGGACCCCGTGTGGAGGCCCCTCCCGAGACCTACACTTTGGTGTCCTCATGCTCTCCGTACAGCCAGCCGTCCTTCTCCTCGGAGATGAGCAGCGTGATGACATCTCCCTGCGCGAAGCTAAGTAAGGTCTGGTTCGCGCCGGCCGTGTGTGGAAAGATGGTTTTCACTTTCTGCTTTTTTACCCTGTTCAGTCCAGTGGCAACAGAAACCGATCGCTGTAAACTGGGGTCATCTGAAGAACCTGTCAAAAATGAACCGAGCAGTGATGGCTTTTCAAGGAAGGATGATCAGGCAAGTTCAAAGGAGCCAAGCCCAGGAAACCACCCGCCCCCATCTCTCCAGCACACTCATTCCACTGAGACACCAATCGGATTATATTTCCACACCTCCACCCATGTCTGGATGGACAGGGACAGCAAGGGACAGCAGCAGAGCCATGGCCCGAGGCCTCTCAGAGGAGGATCCCTGTGGCTAAAGGCTCTTTTCCAGACCGAGAGGATAAAGTAGTGTAGCCAAGCTTCATCTGCACTGATTCAATCAGGATGGCTCTTAAAGAGGCAAAGTTCTCCACCACCAAGTGGCCCACTGCTTTCCTTGCCGCACTCCCCCACAACAAATCACAAGGCCTGTGCCACAAAAAAGAGAGAAACTGGAAATGTAGACGTTCTTGCTGCCATGGCTGCTCACCTGCGAACGTGGCAGGGATGTAGTGAGGGTGAGTCACGTGTATTGGCCCCTCCTCCTAGGTGCCCGTGGCAGAAGCAGGAACCAGATGGAACCAGATGCGGGTGGCCTGGCTCCACGGCCTAACGCTGCACTCCGTCATGTCTCAGCTCAACGCAGGCTGATATCTACCAGCACTACCGCCGCCACCGCAAAATTGGAATGGAAAAATTTTTTTTTTCCACTCAAATTTTGCTAGCCCACTATTTACTATAAAATAATGCAAAATCTCTTTCTGCATCATTCTCGCAAATTCTTAATAAGTACAATGTAAACTTTGCTATCTCTTCAACATGCCGCATAGTCTAATTACCTTGGCTGTATTGAATTCAATGATTTTCATTTAGCTTTTACCAATAAGAACCAAAGAATCATTTGAATGATTGGGCGGCACACAGCACTGTATATTTTAACTTTATATTATATATAACTTATAGTTCTTCAAAGGCAAATGGCTACAGAGTATCATCTTTCCAGCTGACATTCTGAAAATCCCATCTTTTCCCCAAGAGCTGCATGTGCTGGACAGCCCGTTAGCTCTCGCGAGCAACACACCGTGTGACTGCCACGACTTCACACCCAAGGGGCCCGAGTCCCCCCCAAAAGAGACGGGTCTGGCGCCACGACAATCTCGAGGTCCTGGGTGCCAAAGACTCTGTGTAGGCAGAGTGGAGCCTAACCAAAGCCACCTGAAATGCCTGCAAACAATAACTGGTCCCAGTCTACTGAAACAGAGTCAACCGGGTTAAGAAATGTAAGCAGTTAGAACCTAAGCCCCCAGAAACCATGAAGTGCTCTGTTAGAGACAATGAAAACACTGATTATAATTTAAACGAAGCTTACTGGTAAGACTGATAACCATTAATTTTGTCATGTGAACTTCTACAGTTTGTTTCATTGAAAAAAAATTTTAGTCCAATTGCCACAAATACATAACACAGCGTGAGGCTCTGTAAGTTATATCCCATTTCTTTTAAAATATAACACCTTTCAATAGGAATGTTCACTGTATGTAAACATCAATCTGTATATAGAATTGGCATGTGTCAAAGCAACGTGTCTTATGGTTTTAGAATAAACCTAGACCCCATCACAAGGTGTGAGTTCCTCCAAGCCAGTGTGGAGGGGGTGCTACCATACATATGTATTTACCTCTATCTCAAGGCACACTTATCCTAAATATTTGAAAAATTTTAAAGGTACTTTAAAAGAAATCCAACTAAGTATCTTACCTGTTGAATTATTTTTTCTTTCTGAATTCTGTGCGACTGTGGCTGGGTTATTAAACATGTCAATCAAAGGGCTGGTTAACGCTCTGGCTGAAGGAGCCGAGGGGATCTTTGGTGAATATTTAGGAAGGGTGTCATAATCTCGCCCAACCTGTGAAAAATTCCTTATTAGTTTAACATTAGTGTAACACAGCAATGGCATTAGACGGATCCCCAGGACTGTTTTGCATTACATGCTTTAAATTCCATTTTTTCCCCAAATTTTTTGTAGGGCAATGCCCCTTTTTGAATTATTTCAAGAACACCATGTCCTTTTTTCCATTTTTGTCTTTTTTTTTTAAAGCAGTTACTCCCCATTTTCCCCACCCCTTGAAAAGCACTCATCTCCTTCCTGTCTCTACGGATTTTTAGGCTCCCTTTTAAGTGCTGTTTGGCTAAAGGCATCTACATTTAAAATTATTTTTCCACAGAATTTTGAGTGCATTACTCCATTACTTTCTAACATCTTGTTTTCCAGTATCAGTGGGATTCTCTTTTCTTTGTGAGTAATCTATTTTTGCCCTCCCTGAAAGTTTTCAGAATCCTCTCTTTATCGCTAGCATTCTGCCGTCTGTTGAGGTTCTGGTCTTTTCCATTCAGCCAGGATCACCCTGCCTGCTGTGTTAAAGGCCAGGCTACCGCAGTCATCTCTGCTGGACCTCGGTTAGAGCAGGGTAGGGGTAGAAGTGGTTGGAAACAACAGTGTGTACCCACGGGCTAGCCGTGGCCTAAGAGAGGGTGAGGGTCGATGTCCGGTGTCCACGCTGCCGGAAGGATGGAGTCGCCATTTACTGGACAGGAAAGACTGAGGAGAAGTGGGGTTAGAGTGAGAGAGCCTCAGGTATGTGGTTTTGGACACGCTGAGCGGGAAGATCCCCACTAGACATGCGGGCGGTGAGGCCCCAGGCGGCAGCTGGACGTACCTCCCACGTTTCAACCCAGCTAACACTGATAACCTCTTTGATTTTTTTTTTTTTTAAATCCTGTGTTTGCACTGTATTTTGGGAGAGTTCTTTGGCTTAATTTCCCAAGCTGATTCATTCTGCTAAGGAGACCAGCTCTTGTTTTGGGGTGTTTTTGGAGTGGACGAGGGGGAAATGAAAAACTTTTAGAAAAATTTGGAACAGGTACAAAAGTAGAGAAAACAGCACAATAAATCTCCATGTACCCAACACCTAGCTTCGACAATTACCAATCCACGGACATTCTCGTTTCCTGTATGCCCCATCCATCTTCCCCCACAATTGGATTATTTTGAAGCGAATCTCAGACATACCATTTTAACTAGAAATAATAATCCTTTTAAATTTCCAAGACAGCTGACTCTTCTCTGTGGTTGTAATAGCCTTTCATCTCTTTTCTCCTCTGCCCTGTTGGCTCTGTTGCCCCCTTTACTCGTCATTCCAGTTTTTACTTTGGTGCGTCTTTTTATGACACTGGTTTCCCCCACCTGTTCAGTGACCACTGGTTGTCTGTCCATCTTTGTACTGGGTGGCAGTCCCCATTCTTTTTACTGTACATGACAGTCTGTGTTTTCCCCACGCTCCTGATCGCATGCGATGTGGGGAAGAGGTAAGACACACCCCCAGGAGTGAGCCCCACCCTTCGGTCCACACACGCTGTTTCAGTTCACAGATGAAAGCCCGGGCTGCCTGTGGTTTAGCACAGGTGGGACAAGCGGAGAGACCAAGCAGCCTGGACAGTCTGAACCAGCTCTCCAGCCGACAACACTCAGGACACCCCAGCTTCTTCCCCGCTTCTTGGATCCACTGGCTCTGAACTGACAGCTCCACCCTCTGCAGGAACCTTGCCCTGCACATCTTCCCTGGGGCTGACATGTCCTTTTATTTCCATTCTCCACACGCTGACCTTGCCTTTCTCGCTCTGGAGACTCCTTCAGTGTTTCTGGTCCATTGACAGCACCTGCTCTTTATTTTCCCATGCGGTTATGGATCTATTAGGCAGGTTGATGGCTGGTCATTAATATCTTTGCTGTCATTTCAGAGGGCTTTATATGGACAGGGAGGGTGGACTGACACATGTGTTCAAACTACCTACTGGATTTGAATCTCGTCACGTGTTTGTGAAAAAATAATAAAGCCCATATTCAAAGAGCAATGAACTACGATGCTTGAATCCGTTACCTGGAATACTGGGGTGATTATTTTTTTCCTCAGGTGCCTTATGTAGTGATGAATGGCACCAGAGTTTTGCTAATCTGTGTTCTAAGACACTTTACGCTTCCTTCAATGGGAATAAACTTATAAAGTTGGAATCATTACAATTAAAAACAGAATCAGTAAAAAAAAAAATCTCCAAAACAAAGATTACAGTGCTAACACAGTGTGAAACATTTTCACATCTAGTTTCAAATCTGAAGGTAAGGGGATAAAAGGAAAGGCAGGCCCTAGAAGTAGTACAGGAGAACCCGTGATTTCCACTAACAAAGAAGGCCTTGGTCTGTCGTGCAAATATGGCTGAAATCTTATTTAGCAAACATACAACCAAAATCTTGAGGAGACAACCAGCTCTTACCATGCTGCTTCTCTCGATCATGGGTGAAGGCAGAGGCGTTCCAGACATTGGGGTGGAGATTGGGGTCTTAATTTCTTCGATCATATTCATGATTTTCTCTGGTACTTTGGTGGCATCACCACATGTTTCTTGCCACTTAGGCAGTTTGGAATTGATCAATTCTGCAGACTATAAATTCAAAAGAAACAAAACCAAAGACAAATGTGTACTGTTGGAAGGACTGACACAAATTACAAATGCTACTAATGTATTCCTGGCTTACCACTGGAAGTGTGGGAGCTATGAGTTCAATTCAGTGAGGAGCTTAAGCACCTATGGGGATCTGCTGTGTCTTATTTGCTGAGGATGTAGGCTCCTGTTCTAAAGGAATTTACCATCTCCCTCAGGGTGAATACAGAGTTCAAGACTAATACAAGGATTGTACATGAGTCAGAAGAAGTTCAAAACCTAAAAGGGAAGGCGGATCAATCCGTCTTAATCCTCATGTTTCCCTGTGGTCCCAGAACTGCCAATCCCCGCTGTCTTCCTCCCACAAGAAGCACCTCTGACCGAGTGACAGGACCAAGAGTGGACTCTGTTTGTGTGTGTACGTTCATGTGCCCTAAACACTGTCCTAAGTACTTCATCCTTGTTAATTCACTGCATCTGCCCCACAATCCTAAAGTAGGTACCATTCTCATCCCCATTTCACAGATGAGGAAACTGAGAACTTTGAGAGGCTAAGTAACTGGTTAACACAGCCTTCCGTGGTAGATCCAGGACCCTGAGGTTTCAACTACTGGGACCTCAGGGAAACCGGACTGGCGTGTTAGAGGAGTGAATCAGACCTGCCCTGAGAAGTTCCTCTACGGGGACATAGAGACTAGAAGCAGAGCGTGGTGGGTCTTCAGAGTCGGGGGCAGTGTTGAGGGGAAGCCCCGCCCACAGGCCGGCTGGGGCTCTGGGGCAGGCAGACCATGGGCTTTGCAGAAAAGCTGGATTGCAGAACAGAGAGATGCAGAAGGACAGCGACGAGACCCCTTAGCCCCAGAGGCAGAGGCATCTGTCCTGGTTCCCACAGCCTGGCTCTTCCTCCAACTGGACTCCCAGACTCCCCGGAGCCTTTCCGAGAACCCCTTTTTCCAGGGCGGCAATCTAGTTGGAAAAGGGAAGTAGGGGATCTTTTTTGAAACTATTTTCATAACAACCACACTGTTTTTCATCTAGGCTCTGTGTCCATCAGAAGTGGGCTGGGGGAGTTGGTGTAAATCCTAAGCCCCGCCCCTCACACCACCCTGTCCCCTGCCTGTGACGCAGACACACCGCGGACCAACTACTAAGTCTGCTTCATCCAGGACTGGGATCAGGGAAAGCACAAAAGCGGTTTCAGAGACTTGAAGAGACTTCTGCTAGGGAAAGGAGGAGATCTGGCTTGCGTCACACTAAAAAACGTAATAGGGACTCAAGGTTAAGTGTAAGAAAGACTGTCAACAACTAGAGCTCTCTGGAAATAGGCCATATTGCCTCACGACACAGCAAGGACCCCATTGCTGGGGGCTGGTGTCACCACAGAGAGCTTCAAGGTTGCTTCTGTGCCCCTCCGGCCCACGACCCTGCCCCAATAGGACAGTGTCACCGTGGAAACATTAGTACGTATGCACTGGTGACAAAAGCGATCATCTAATGCAGCATATTTTTCTTTCCTGTAACAACCTGAGACCTTAGGTATTTAGATTTGGTAGCTGAATATTCCTTAAAGTTGCAAAAACTTTATGGAATATGTAACCTGTGATATATGCATACATACAAGTCCAAATTTTTTTCCCCCTGAAAAGAGGAAGTTGCGCTATATTCAAGCTCTTACAAAGCTTCTCATATCACGGAGTGCTCTCTAAATTACTTTATTATGAATAACAATGAATATTTGACTTCAGTCAGTGCTAGTTCTGGATGCTTACATAAGCCCAATAGAATTCATAATTTAAAAAACAAAAAAAGAGAGGAAAGGAAATTTAACACACAGTTTGTAATGATTCCTGGAAATATAACCTCACAACTGCATGCGCTGAAGGAGAGGGATAAATCCAGCCACGCAGCTGATGCGACCTTGAACAGACACACAACCTGAGGAGGAGTGAAAAAGGAGCCCCGACCAGCTGTCCTGAGGCTGTGAATGGGGTCTGTGGCCTGGGATAGAATTTCCAGCAACACCATCTACATGGACCCCCAAGGGGAGCATCTCAGGCCACCCAGGTGGGCTGGACCTGGGGCCTGCCGGGACTCACCCTGTGGTTCTGGGGAAGACACTGATGTTGAAGATGCATCAGAAAGAGTCTGAGAAAAGCTGACTCATGGGTGAGAAAAGGAAAAAAGTGCCATTTCTCAGTTATTCAATAAGTATGAATGTGTTACTAAATTAAACATTATAAACAAGCATTTGACCATTTCATCTACATTTCTAAAAGTTTACACATTCAAGTTGGTCAAAAATTATTTCTTTGGGGAACTTCCCTGGTGGTCCAGTGATTAGGAATCCACCTTCCAATGCAGGGGACGTGGGTTCAATCTCTGGTCAGGGAACTAAAATCCCACATACCATGGGACAACTAAACCCACGCGTTCTAGAGCCCGCGCACTGCGATGAAAGATCCCGCATGCCACAGCTAAGATATCCCGTGTGCCGCAACTAAGACTCAATGCAGCCAGATAAATAAATAAATATTATAAAAAATTTATTTCCTTGGAATCTTCTCCCTGGCAAAATAAGCCTTTCGCTTTATACTTGGGCACGTATGGAAGGTGAAGCATTTCAAGGGCATTTAAATATGAATAAAATTAGTCCTCACAACGCAATCTGCCACCACACCCACCTGTAAGTGATACTGATGAATGTGATTTGAGAAGCTGCAGTGTTTGTCAACTAGGAAGCAGAAGCGCCTTTTCTCTTCAAGTATAGCTTCTTTGCAACCATCTGCAATAAATTTCTGGATTTCATTCTGGCGAGAAGTGATGGTTTCTACATACTAGGAAAATAAATAATAATTATACAAGTATGACGTGAGGAATCAAATAGCTACACAGCCTGACACTTATCTTCTCCCATCTTTATGCTTGGTTTATTTTGATAATGGAGTAAGTGCTAAATGCAGATAAACATTAGACAAAACGACGTACTTGTAACCTGATCTGAGCAGATGGCAAATTCTCATTAAGATCCCTGACTCATGCTTGGAGAGAAGTTGCCAAAGGCCTTACATTCCACTGGGTAATCTGCACAAAATATTACTTTGTAATCCAGGGATATGATGTTTTACTGGAAAATTGTGGGACCAAAAAGTTCAGAACCAGAAAGTTCAAGTTCAAATCCCAGTTCCAAGTGCCAACCATGTGACTTAACCTAAGCCTCACTTTCCCCATCTGTAAAATGGAGATAGTAATGCTTATACTGGGGAGTCCCTGACCCTCCCTGAGTTGGGAGAAAATGCCAATGCTCTTGACTAATTATTAACTTAGCTCTGGGGAACTCTGCGGCCTTCAGCTCCTACCAAGTCGAAATGCTTATTTTTAACTTTCAACAGCAGAACAGTGACGGATGAAGTATAGACTGGCTGAGGTGAGCACGCTTCCCCGTTAACTGTACAAATCATCAACCCCAAAATAAAGTAAAATAGTGCTGAAAAGTTCACCTCCATCTCCTTGTGTTCATATTTGAGTGCATTTCGTCCTCCTTGACTTTTCCTTCTGATCTTCTTCAATTCTGCTTGAGATTTCTCCAAAGAATCTAATTTATTCCTGTGTTCTGCTTGGTATCTTTTGAGAGTCGCCTGTAAGTTAAACATTGCACTTATTTTTACTGCAGCACCAGGCAGTGTCAGGCAGTTACTCTTGCTGCGTTTCCACTGGGCGTGGTGGCAAAAGGCCCACGCTTCGCGCTGCCCTGCCTGGCTGCAGGTATCCCCACTTCACACCACCCCCCTCCGCTCCTTCGACTTCAATGTCCTGTCCTGAAGTTCCCCGTTTATATGATGAGCCCCTGACCAGAAGGGCAGCTTCTCAGAGGAAAACAATGTCGTTTCTTTCTTTTATTCCTTTTTTCTCCAAGGTTTTTGGACACTGGGTGGCCTGTAAGTGCTTTGGTGAATAAATGAACAATATCAACTCACACACTCCTGTTTTATGACTTAACGATTTCAAGAAACAGAATGAACAAGAGCCATCGCTTCCGGTGCTTCTGAAGGCTGTGAAACAGAGTGTTCTGGAGCCTCACAGACCTGGGTTAGAATTCTGGCTTCATCCCTCATTTCCTGTGTGATCTCAGCAATTACTTAATTTTTCTGAAATCCATGCTTACCCTCTAATCTGTACAGTGGGGATATAGTAAGAGTACCTATGTTACAGAGTTTCTGTGGGGATAAAAATCAGACAATGCACGTAAAGGGCTTGGTATTACATCCTCCGGGCCACAGAGCACGTGCACGCAGGGCAGCAGGACGACTTCAGGGTGACCCCCACCGCTTACTGCCATGCGGGGCTTGTGAAGAAGGGGAGCTTCGGGCGGCCAAGGAAGCAGCTACTGTGCAGCAGAAAGGCGAGGCAGAAGGAGCAAACTGCTGGAATCGTCACTGCCGTAGGGCAACAGGGGAGAGACACCACGATGGGACCGGGGCCCCAGGGAGCTCCAGACGGCGTCCTCCCACACGGCTCACGTCTGCAAGTGCCGGTTTGTGAAAGCAACAGCTGCACTAACGCAGATGCAGGTGTCATCCACATATGCATGTTCCTTGAAAACAATGTTTTCCAGAAGTGTATGATTCCCTGCAGGATTTCCTGCTATGCTTTTTAGTAAAGATCCCAAGTGTTAGCACTTGGCCCACTCAGCCCAAAGGGACCTTGTCGGTGTTATGCGGCTGTGTACACACTCGACCCTCGACGGCCAGCTCCATCATACCTGCTGCTGCCGAGTCAGCAGTGGGGGAAGTTGTCCTCGAGCTCAGCCATCAGGCAAGTGCAGCCTTCGCGAGAGCTGGGCCCCCGGCCCCGGGCCACCTCCACCTACGGAAGGTGGAGCAGAACTCGGTACTTACGTTCATATATTTTACATCAAGCTCTGTCTTCTTCTCCAGCTCATGGATAATCTCCTTATGGAATTTTCTGAACTGTGAATGCAAGGAAATGAAAAATTCAGACCAGGTTTGAGACTTGAAGTGAAATAAAATTTAAAAATAAGTATATTTGGTAAATATAAAAACAGTTCACATACATTTTCATCAAGGCTCTCGTTGAGTTTCTTGTGGATACTCGAAATCTCTATGAGAACATGGCCTGTGGACAAAACCAGGTACGTAAGGGCAAAAAGCCATTGCGTGGTTTTTGTAAAGATACGAAGGGAACTGAAGTGGTGGATGAAGCCCAGTCCCTGGCTGCTCCCAGAGCAGGTGGGCACCAGCCCCATGGCACTGGGAACACCGGCTGCGTCCTGACAGCGGGGGTGGGTCAGACGGATACAGCTGACAGCAAACTTACTCCACAACATCGTTCGTCAAAAGCTCGCCAACTTTGTCTTTAAACTCACGTTGTTCTCTCGCCATTTACTCATTCCCTAAGCTGAATCCTATTTATCTGGTTTAATTGTTAAATTCTCTTACAAGAGATTATTTTGGTCATTATAGTACTAACTATAGGAACAAATGACTTATTTTCATCTAATCCTGGGTAATCTGATTATCTGTCAGGCATAAAAGATAGAGGTTATTTTCTCTTCCTCATATTAGTTCTCGTAACATTCTGGAAAATCTCAACACCATGGGAAACTGCAGCAGGGACAGTGTTCTGCCTCGCGTCTCCCGGGGCTACACCGTTCTCTGAAATGACTGCACAGAAGAGAATGTTCCGGGACAAAGGAGTGTTGCTCCAAAAAAGCAGCGAGATGACCACTTGATTTGCAAAGCACATGTCCTGCGGCTCGCGGCAGGGCGCTGCCTCCCCACTTCTAAAGGTGAACAAGAGCCCCCCTGCCAACTTCTCTACAGGAACTAAATGGGTCTGATACCCAAAAACTGGGAGCGAAAGAGTTATTTGGAACCACCACCAAATCATCCCAAACCACAAAACATGCCGAGCGGACCATCCTACGGTTCGGTGGGCAGATAAAAAGGAGTTCTTTGGGCAAACTGAAAGGCTGTGGATGAGGGAGAATGAAAAGGACGACTATGGTGGACACGGGGGAAGAGGAAAAGATTACTGACTAGACTCTGGCTTCAGCGAGCACCTCTATGCAAATGACTTTAGTAGGCCCAGTTCTGGAAACACCTGAAGACATCTGACTCTAAGGGGGCAGCCCGGGCTCTCCCCCATCTTCAGACTGAGAAATTCTGCCCGTTCTGAACACGTCCACCTGGATGTCCCACTAGTCGCCCCGTATTCGGCAGGCCTACGAGTGAACCCCACCCCGCCCTCATTGTCTCTAATCCCAGCTCTTGGCTGCCAGCCAGCCAGTCATGAGGGGTCGACACCCCGTCTACGCCCAATGACAGACTCATTCCCTCGTGCCATCACTTGGGCACCTCCGGCATGGAACCATGCCTCTTACTCATCCTGCTTCCTTGGGCAACAAATGTGCCAGCCCTCCCCTACCCAGGAGAGAAGGCACGTGGGGATGATGTGAAGTCGATGTTCACTTGATGACCTGTTCTAGGAGAGGTGGGCAGGGGTCTCCCCAGGCCCTCTGCCCCACATGTTTACACCTGCCAGTTGGACCTCTTAGGAGGCGCCCTCCTCCTTCAAGCTCTTATTTCTCATGACTCCCAGCTTGTTCTCTTCTGGATCTCCTCCCTCACAGGTGCCAGGGATCTTTCCAAATCTACATGTAAAATGTCACTCCCTCCCATGGGGTCCCAGATAAAACAACTCCTCGGCCTGAAGCCCACCATGAGCAGTGTTGCCTAAAATAACCATCGTGGGTGGTGGGGACAGAGAATCTCCTGGAAGGATATAACCATGTTAATAGGTTATAGGTACATGTAAGTCCCTAAGCACCATGTGATTCTAGGAACATCTGCTGGATAAGCATGAGAGCGAGGGCAGACACGTCCCCAGCACTGATGGTCCACGTGCCAGGGTATCAAGGTACCCACTCTACACCCTCAGTGACACTGACTCCATTTATCCCATAATTCAGTTCTCCTAAAGCTCAACATGAAACAAATAAACCAGAGTTCTTCACAAAGGAAGCCTTTATATGACCAAGAATATAATTACATTAATATGTCATTTCATATATTGAAATAATCTGAGTTACCTTCACATCTATTTTAAACCCATAACTCCGAGTTGGAGATGAAAAATAAACAACAACAACAAAAACCACTTCAATTAATTGGAAATCAAGCACTCTATCCTGGGCAAATCAGATCTACTTAAAAAAGAAAAAGGTCTAAAAATAATTTTGCTTAAATCATTCAGAGTGATTCAGGCTAGTAGCAAAGTGTTCACATTTTTTTTTTCATGTTGTCATGAACTTAATTTCTACAACCTTATATAACATGGACCTCTGAGAAGCGTGTCAAAAGTATGTGCTTGTGCAGTGCCCTCGGGAACGCCAGCGCTGCTAAAGCCGCCAGCGCTGCTAAAGCCGGCGCTCTGGCCTGAGGGCCCCGGCCACCCGAGCCCCCTCCTCACTCTCCCCCTCCCGTCCACAGTCTCTCCCCGCCCCGCAGGCGCCCAGTGGAAAGGCCCAGTGAAACAGCCCATTCACTCTGCGGGCAGAGACGGAACACCTGACCTTCCCCCCTGTTATTCCTGTCCCTCACAGTTCGTGGAATTTAAATGCCAACCTCATAGCAGCAGCCACTGAGTCCTCAGTCATAAAAAGGATTAAAAAACATCTTTACTGTGCTTTTGCAAGCTGCCAAAAGAGTATCTTGAAACAGAAAATGAAAACAGCCTTTATGTTCAATCTACAGAAGTTTATTCTTAACATAGCAAGTGTTACTTTATGTCTGAAATGTGGTATCGCACGTTTTACTCTTAGCCCTGTAACTTACTTTTTCATAAATTACATTTGGGAAGAAAAAAAATTTTTGAAACGAGAGGGTGCAGTCGAGAAAGCACGGCCCAGATTCTAATGGAGCAGAACTAAGTAAACGCCTAAACAGGAATCAGAGTGTTGATCCCAGAAATTACAGCACCGTATGTACTGGATCAACCATTTCCTTTTCCCCTTTTAGGTTCTGAGTCAATATTTTGGGATGAAACTCATAGTAAGTACAGTAATGTAATTCGGTCTGAATAAATTATATTCTTAAATAGCAATATTAAGGGAATTTTAAAATATACAAATTTTTCAAAATCATGAACTTGATACAACTAAAAGTCAATGTCTACCACCAATTTTTCTCTAAAATTCATACAAATAATAGCTCCTCATGGTATCACTCTAATTTTAGGAACTATGAACAAATATGTCCAACATTTTGGACGATACTGTATGAAGATACACATTTAGCCAATAGGCAGTATGGACTTTAAAAGTTAAACAAAAATTAAAAAACATTACTAGTATGAACACAAAGAAAGTTTTCATCTGAAATACAGGTTAGTCATTGGACTATTAATATATTTTCAACTAGATAATTCTTCATCAATTCACAGTATAAATTTAGAGGAACCAGATGGACACTACTAACAGACGTGAGTAGCACAGAACGTGTAGGCATAAATATTCTTTTTCATTTATATTTGATTGTGGATAATCAGAACATTTATTATTTCCAGATAGCACAGAGCAGTGACAGGCACACACTACTTCCTCCATGTGACTTTGAGTGGAGTCAGACAATAAAACGACAAGATGGAAGCCAACCCACTACTGGCCTAAAGTTACACTGTATGGATGAAAGGAAAACTGACAGAAAAAATGTCACTGGAAAAAGGATATACTTTTTCTGAGAGTTTTTCAAATACCCAGTGTGATGCAGAGAAAATATAATGAAAGTAAAAGCAAATTACACATAGATGGGATACGCTAAAAAACACAAGTATGTACTCAGGGTCACCAACACTGTTAGCAGAGTCGGAGTAGTACCCACCAACATGTGACCCAGCTTGGAGGGCTTTGCCAGCATCTAAGAATAGCTCCCAATGGCTGTTCCCAAGTCCCTGGATGCAGGTGGAGGTGCTCTTCTCTCATCAGTATTGAAATTGTGCAAATAAACAATGTGCACATAGGCACAATGCCAAGTCAGTGACAGGGTGAGCATTTCATCCAACGTTCCTCCAAAGTCTAGCTTTTGACTTACCCAATCATAGTTCTACAGTTCTAATTAACACCTTGCATGGAGACTATAATTATTCTACCATTGATCATGATTTATCCCATCCGATGAAAACAACTGAGACAAACTGAAGTTATACAACAGAATTATATAGTGTTCCAAAGTTCTTTCATTGTCAGAAATGAAAGTAAAGTGCCAAGTAACAATTGACTTTGATAAGAAAAGATGCATGGTGAAATCTCCAGGGTAGCCACTAAAAGAATAAAGTTCATATAACTATCAAGCTAACAGAAAGGAGAAAAAATAGTCAAAAAGAGGACTAGAGAAGAAATTAACATAGGACAGAGAGTAGAAAGCAAAAGTAATTACACTGGAGGTAAATGGAATATATAGTTTAATTAAATGGAATATATAGTTTAATTAAAAGACAAAGATTGTTAGGATTAAAAAAACAACACCTGGGGCTTCCCTGGTGGTGCAGTGGTTTAGAGTCTACCTGCCAATGCAGGGGACATGGGTTCATGCCCCGGTCTGGGAAGATCCCACATGCCGTGGAGCGGCTGGGCCTGTGAGCCATGGCCGCTGGGCCTGCGTGTCTGGAGCCTGTGCTCCGCAACAGGAGAGGCCACGACAGTGAGAGGCCCGCGTACCGCAAAAAAAAAAAAACAAAACAACACCCCACTATATTCTGCTTACAAGAAACACACTTAAATACAGAAATGTTGAGAGTAAAAGGATGGAATCAGATACATGGCAAACACTAACCAAAAGAAAGCTGATGCCGGTACATTAAGACCAAACAAAGAAGACAAAATAGTCAAAGACGGCAAGAAGCATTATTAGAGATAAAGCAGTCATTTCATAATGGCAAAAGGTTCAATTCATCTGCAAGATAGAAAAATTTTGTATTTGTGTGCATCTCAATGTAGTCTCAATGTTTCTAAACCCAAACTGAATTATAAAAAAGAAACAGATAAATCAATAGCCATCATAGGAGATTTTAATATATCTCTCTTAGTAAACTGATAGAACAAGCAGACCAAAAAATCA